CAAACAGACACCTCCAAAAGCCCTGAACAGTAGGAAAATTCTGCCTGAGATAGGATCATGTCCTTTAAATCTCTAATCTGGGTCGGCATCAGAAACAAGCTTTGTAGAATCCCGCATGTTAGGGCAAGACCAGAAACCCTCCTGACACCTGATTTCTCATCTACAGAGTGGGAACACTGATGCTGGCCTCCTGAGCGTCGTGGGGTGAACTGCCTTTCCCTAATGTAAAAGCAAGGCTGTGTGCGTGGCTACCCAGATTCCTGGTCTCAGGCTCTTTTGTCACAGCTCCTGGAGCAGCACGGAGGGGCTGATGTTGGTGAAGAGGAAAAGCCCTCACTCAGAGCTGGCTCTGAGGAGATGCAGTTGGAGGGGCTCATGTCACCTCAAATCACCATCTCACTGCACTGGTGCCAGTTGACAGCTGGGAGATGAGTGCCGACTGGCCAGGAAAGCTTCGTGTGTATTTACAGCTGCTCCGTGTGACTTGCATTCCTGTTTGACTCAGTCTCCTGTCAGCTCAGCTCCTAGATTCTCACAGGAACTTGAACCCTGCTGTGAACTGTGCAGGTGTGTGATCTAGGCTGTGAGGTCTTTACGGGATTTGTGCACGCCCCCACCATCCCATCCACGCAAAAGCTGTCTTCCATGGACCTTCCATGGTGCCTTAAAGGTTGGGAACTGCTGTTTACATAGGAGGAAGAGAGAGGAGAGGGAACACAGAGGACAGTGGACAACTCCAGGTTGTCCTATCCCTCCCACCCCTTTTCTCTCTCTCTTCCCTGGGGAAAGCAAAGGGGACCCAATCTCCTGGAGCCAGTGTCGGCTTATTGTATCCATTTGTCTGGCTGACAGTGGCTACACTTTAGGCCCAAGGATCTTTGGAGAAATCTCTTGTAGCTAAAGGAAAGTAATCTACTTTCTAATGTTCCAATTTGCCCTGCCGGTTACACCCATATTTAAACATTAACTTCCAGTAATACTGCTGAACGTTCCTGTGTACAAAAGCAGACTCCATACCTAAAAATTGTGATTGTCTGGGTTTTTTCTCTCAATCATTAAATTTTCCAGTTATCATCTGAAAATCCCTGGGCAAAGCTTGACTACACAGCCTCTCCTACACAGCTCCACCCTGGCCAGCTCTCTCTCGCAGATCTCCCAGCAGACAAGAGGATGAAATGCTAAGGCAGGCCTTCTCGATCACCTGCTGGGGCCATCTAGGCTCAGTCTGCAGAGTGAACTGAGGCAAGCCTTGCCCTGCTAGGTCCTGTGTGACGGGCTCATTTCCTGGTACAGCAGCGGCGTCACCCCGGTTACTCGACCTGACTCCTCAAGGCCACAGAGTCCACGAACTTCCCTGTGACTGGGGCTGGGGGATTTAAAATGAGAGTATGGATATACATTTATGGAATAAGACTTTAAGTCTGTGGAAAGTTCTCAAGGAATAGACTCTAAGGGTGACTTTTTTCAAGAGGAGAAATTTTGAAAACATGAAAGAAGAGAAACACTTAGGCAATCCACTGCTACTGCCACCACTGTCCTTGTGAAAGGCAGCTCAAGTTGTGGCCGTGCTGTGTTCCCTGAAGTCCAATTAAAAAGTGAGAATAGTTACTGAAGTACGCTAAGTGGAAGTCACCTCGGTGTTCTGGGTCTAAAACTCCCCAGGGTACAGGCATCACAAAAATGCTTCTCTTCGTTCTTCCCCAGGAGCAGCTGCATTGAGCAGGCCAAGATGTCCAGCCATGCACATCTCCCAAGCAGCATTCCAGTGGCATCCTTTGTGCTGGCCACCCATACCAGCTGAAATGTCAAGTCCCCACACTGGGCTACTCAGGAAAGAGTACCGGGAACACTTGAAGAACTGGTCTTGTGTCTCCCTCACATGCGCAAAGACACACGATAGATTTGCCCCTCCTGTGCACAAAGATGCACTTGTTGCTGTGGCTGTAAACACAGCACAATTCCAAAAGCTTGAGGAACAGGCATTCTTGTTCTGAACTCAGCGCTGATTGTGCTGCTATCAGGAATGCAGGAAATGTCAAACATCAAGGAGTTGTTCTAGCTTCCTGTTTCCCTAACCTCTCACTCCTCACAGCTTACCCGGTGATTCCTGGTTCTCCTACAAAACAAATCTCCAGCCTGTAATCCCAGCATTTGGGGGGCTGAGGCAGGAGGATCCCCACAAATTCAAGGCCAGTTTGGGCTACATAGTTAGTTCAAAAGCTAGCCTGACCTACATAGTGAGACCCTGTCTCAAAAACAAAAACAAAACAAAAACTCCCCAAAGCAAAATAGACATTGAATCTATTAATTTCTTTTGCCTCATTTCTACCAACTTATTTATGTCGAATTACTTAACCTTGCTATGCTTCAGTTTCTTCATCTGTGAAATGTGATATCATCTCTTAGGGTTTTCATAAATGGACTCATACATATAAAGTACTTAAAATAGACTGTAAACGTATTGCTATTTTTATTGCTGTTATGATCATTTCCTAGGTGCTTTTCTTATTTCTACTTCAATTTTTCTATTTCTTCCTCTTCATTACTATGTCTTTATTGCCAATTCATGTGTCATGTCTATCCTGATTGCTCATTGGTCAGTCCATGCATGCATCCACTAATGCAGTACCTACTGGGAACGTGGTTATTTCCCTACCCCTGCCCATATATACACACCTTACAGCATCACAGATGAAGACAAATGAGTGAACTTAGCTAATTTCTAGAAATCGTGTAGCGTACAGATCAATGACTTCATCTTCTGCGAAGCCACCCCTAAGTATTACAGTCCCTCTTTGTCGATCTTATTTTTCATTCTTATCATAGTATGGCTGTACCAGTGCTGGCGAACCTTTTAGAGACCGAGTACCCAAACCCACTTGTTTATCACAAAGTGATAGCACCACAAATAAACCTGAATACTGAGGTTTTAGTTTAGATAAAACAATTGCTTTCTGATGCTTGGCTGATGGATTACTTTGCATGCCAGAGAGGGAGCTTTGTGTGCCCACTGTGGCACACTTGCCATAGGTTTGCCACCACTGACCCGTACCGTAATTGACACACACTGAAATCTCACTTCTGTTCTGAGTTGTGTTCTAAAGTCAGAGTGAAAGGGAGTAGTGAGAAGTGCCCTTCCAGGTCCCTTAGGAAGACAGTGCCACGCTGGAGGCTGACACTCCCCCACAGGCCCATCCCAGTGTGTTTGTCCCCAAGTGGAAAGGGCTTGCTGTTTTCTCGTTTAAAGTGCCAAGAAGTCATCTTAGTTAGACAGGAGAGGCAGGGAAGATACACATCTAGTTAAACCTACAATCGCAGCAGAGTCATGCTGAGATATTCTCAGTGCGACATCAAGAGATGACCCAAACCCAGCTCAGTGGAGTACCGGGTCACCTCGATGGTCACACTGGGACTTCTGCTCACTAGGAAGTGTACAGGCCACTCCTGAGCCACCCATATTATCTTCTCTCTCTTACATAAATGCATACAGGGTGCTACCTTGTGCACCTCCTTCTGTCACTCAGTTCTTGCTAATATATAATTACACTAGAACTCCTGGAGTGCGTGATTGCTAGCACTAGACTGTCAGACCCTTGTGACCAAGATCATTTCTTGATCCCTTGGTGCACACCATTCTTCATGAGGTGGCGCCTGGCTATTCTATAACCCACTTCCATGCTCTCTGTATTCAAATTCTACCAAACTCTCTCTCGGTTGACAAGTAACAGAGGTAACTTCATCATTCCCACCTCTGCCACTAGTGATCCTACCAGTGACACCTAGCAACAGGCATCCATTCCAAGTGTTTTCCTCTCAGTGATGGGGTGGTTGGGTTAACTAATGCCCCTATTTTCCAGATCTCTGTGCTTGGCCATGCCCTCCCAATCCTATGCCCTCCCACTCGGACCCTACACTTGGCCACGTGGGTGCTTAGAGCAATAGAACATTAGCAATGGCAAAGGCTTGGATACCACATGCACACCTATACTGCTGGGTTGATCTTGCTGTTGTGCTGTCACTGTGATGACTGTCCCAAGCTAGTCTGCTAGAGGATGAGACAGATGGTGCCAAGTCATGATGTCCAGTCAGCTTGGCCCCAGAGCAATCCTAGATTGGCCATATGCAAACTCTCCCCTAGCCATGTGTTAGCCCAGGCAGTTCTGGCTAAGTGCCTGGAGAGTCTGCCACTGACTGCAAAGGTCACCAAGACCAGCTGCTTCCGGCCCCATTTGGCTATACTGCAGACGTGTTGTATGGACTGCTGCACTTTGGCAATTATGAAGGAATTTGGCTGCCGTAGTAGATAATCAATGCCACTTTAAAGGCTTCCCTGGCCCTTTCAAGACAAGTGACTCCTACCTCATTGGTACAAACTCTAAATCTTGTGTTTTCCTCTATTACAAATACAACAGCTGCACTCTTAAAAACATCTGACAGATGCAATGACAAAATGATCTTTTGTTTTTTGTGTAGTTACCCTTTTAAGGCCAGCCTTTGCACAAACAAGAACAGCAGTTTGAGGGAAGTAAAGTAGTCAGTAGTTTGAGCACCTGTGGATTGTACACCTGCCTGGCAAGTGGCAGCTTTCAAACCCCAGAGGTCAGGAGCTGGAGGTAAGCATGGGAGCAGTGACTATGCAGCCACCTGGAGGCAACCCCGGGGGACATCTGTGAACAAGCTGTCACCCCAAAGAGCTTCACAGACACCATATGGGTGCAGGACTCCTGAATTACCACTTCTAGGGCAGTTATTAGGAAGAGAGGCCCAGAAGCAGATGGCCTCGTTCCATTTCTGATCCCAACCTCACAGCTGCCGAGAGCACTCTCTGCGTTCCCACTGGTCTATGACGATGGAAGCTGCAGCGCAGTAGTTACACGTGTGTTGTTTAACGTTTCATTTAAAGCAAAAGTTGCTTGCAAGTCTGCTCTTCCTGCAACATTTCTGAGTGCACAGACACTTGGCTTGTAGTTAGCACCTGCTTGGGGAAGATTCCTACTCACCTGTCTGGAGGACCGTGGGGTTCTCTCACATCCACTGCAAGGGCGAGAAGCAGAGTGAGAAGGAGGCATTGAACGCAGTTGGTGAAGTGAGTGTTGGTGAAGGGAGCATGCCCTGCTCCCTTCGATCTGCTGTGGAAGGAACTCCTCAGGGACCCGCGGTACTCCCTGTCCCTGCACCGCCGCTGTCACCCCTTTAGGACACAGGCATGGATACGCTTTCTCCTGAGACTGTGGCCTCCCAGAGGGTGAGACATGCGTGGCGTTTCTCTGTTCACCTCTCATCTCATACAGAGCGGGGTACCATGAGCACGGCTGCCCAAGCATGGCCACAGGGGCCCAGACCGAGCAGAGTACTGCCCAAGCTCTTTCCAAACATCACCTCACTGTCTTCACTGTGGTCCTGTGAGACTGCAAATATCACTGTTCCCATCTTACAGGCAAGGGAAAAGGCTCAAGGAGGACAAGGCCCAAACTCCCACAGCTAGGGCCGGGGCCATGGTCTGCATGGCCATTTCATCACAGAGACGAGGTGCCTCACTGGCTGCTCTCGGACAGCCGTCCTTCCCTTCAGGGAAGCAGGCGAAGACTTCAATTAGTTAGCATTTATAAAAACCACACCTAGCCTTCTTTGACATGGAGATAGTTGTGTTACTAAAGTAAACCTAAAGAGCTGGGGAGTTAGCTCAGTGGCATAAGTGCCTGCCTGGCAAGCACAAGGCTGTGAGTTTGAACCCCAGCACCAAAATCTGAGTCAGTCTTTTGAAGGTAACTATGCAAAATAACGGCCTTTGTTAAGTTCTTACCACCTTGTTATGAAAGCCTCCATTATTGTTTTGGGGTTTTTGTTATTGTTGTTTATTTGTCTCTCTTGTTTCTTGTTTTTCTTGTATTGGGTTTTTTTTTCCCCCCTTTCTTTAAAAAAAAAGTAAACCTAGGAGAACACTATCCTTCTATGTAAGGTTTTCTTCCAGGGTGAGACTTAGGATGGATGGGAGCACCAGGTCTCCAGTCGGTCCAGCAGCAGCAGCATCTATTCCTGACTTTTTTTTTTTTTTTTTTTAAATTTTTTTGTCTTTTTGAGACAGCGTCTTGCTATGCAGTTCAGGCTGGCCTTGAGCTCACTTTGTAGCCCAGGCTGGTCTTGAACTTGCAACGATCCTCCCACCTCAGCCTCCTGAGTGCTGGGATTACAGGGGTGAGCCACCACACCCGGCTCTATTCCTGACTTGTCAAAAGGCAAATTCTGAGGCTTCAACCAGGCCACCCAAGTAGGAGATATAAAGCCCAGCAACTGAGTTGTCAGCAAGTCTTCCAGGTGATCCTGATGCATGATCAAGTACCAAGAAGCTGCACAAAGCAGTCAAAGGAGCAGTCAAAGCCTGAACTAGTTCTCTCCACGTGCCATCTGCTAGTGGCAGTGGCCACAGTAAAGTGTGTGTCAGCATCGCCACACACGGCCCCCAAAAGTGTGCCCACATATAACGGAACCCGAGCCAGGTATTCCAAGTGTCAGTGAGGTTGGGCAGTGGGGGGAGATGTGAGTGACAACTGTCCCTTCAGCAGCAGAGCAGGACGCAAAGTCCTGCAGAACAATGGGTTCTAGAGAGGCATCCCGACCTCCAAGGGACCAGGGGGGCGGGTAGGACCTGTCACTTAAGACCCTGAAGGCGTCGGGAAAGTTTGGGGCAAGTTCTACTGGTGCGATAACTGTGTTGGCCACACGGGCTCTTCTGGGAACACCAAGGCTCGCTGGCTCCCTGCTCAGTGGCTTTCTCTCCTCTTCCTCTTGGAAGGATTCCCAGTCACTCAAGCGCTCTCAGGCGGCCTGGGAGTGACAGAGCTAATTCCTGTAGCTTTGCCATTGAGCAGCAAGCTGCTCAGCCTGTGTGAGCCCTGAACAGGGAAGAACGGTGGCACCACCTCAGCTGGAGCCAGAGCTGAGGGAGGGACACTGGGGACGCGGGGCAGTGGCCATGTGTGACCCATGTGTCTTCTTACCTTTCTCCGGGGTCTTGGTGAGAGCAGCTGGTTGCCTCTGAAAGGCCTGGAGATCTACAGCTGGGGGCTTGGGAGGCTTTGGGGGAGCTGGACCCTGAGACTCGATGGGAGGCAGTGGCTTCATTCTGGGGAGCTGGCGAGGCTTGGTATCCTGTGGGTTTGCTAAGCACAGACAGGAAAATGAGCAGGTTATGGTTTCTGTCTTCTGACTGGTGCTCCCACCTCAGCCTTGCTCTGGCCCCTGCACTCCACTCAGCAGCCAGTGAGCCCAGCCCTGAGCAAACTCATCACCCATCCCGCTGCACACGGCCTCCTGTCAGGGCTCTTTGCTCTAGCGCTTGGCCTTCACATGCTGTCATCCTTCCCCAGACCAAATTCAGCCCAAATGTCCTTCACCTCATCCCTGAGATCCTCTTATCCCTGAGACTTTGCTCATGTCATTCCTGGTTCTGGGATGCTGTTTTCTCTCTTGCAAGCTTTAACTCTTCCCTACTCCTCCCCGTAGTGGGGACTGAAGCCAGAGCTTCACATTGAGCTAAATCTCACCCCTCACAGTTTTGTTCTTTTTAATTTTGAGACAGATTCTCATAAAATTTTAGTTGCCCAGATCTCAAATTTGAGATCCTCCTGCCTCAGCCTCCCAGAGAGCTGAGATTATAGGCTTCAACCTTCTTGGCCTGCCTTCAACTCATTCTGCTAAAGCTCTGCTCCAAAGACAGTTCTAAAAGCTCTGGATAGCTTTTCTTGATTTCTCCAGAAATGAAGGCCAGAATGACTCACTCTCTCATTTGTATCTTATAGCCTTTGCCAATACCTCCGTGTCGGGACTGTGCACTAGCTGAGAGGCTAGTTTATCTCCCGTGCGACTGTGGGGTCCCATGGGCAGGGAGTGTGTCCTATTTAATCTTTCAGGACTATTCAGAGGGGACAGACTGCTCCCTGAGAAGATTCTTGAAGCACTTGGATGTGCCCATAACCTGGGAGCTACAGTGAGGAAAAGACTTTGATCTGATTTCCAGAGGTCACAGCCTAGGACTGGTTTCAAAGCTGGCGTTGTGGTTCTTGGCATCTGTGAATTTTATGTGCTAGAATTTTCTTTTAAATTCTATTTATATATTTTTCCAAATATATAAATAAAGTTTTATATATTTTGTCCTGTATTCAAAATCCAATTTGAACAGACATTTCAATATTATACATGAAAATCGTATCTACCTCTTACACTGAAATAACGCAGAAAAGTCTCAGATAATCCAAGCGCCTGATATTTGGTTTCAGAATACAGCAGCGGATACTATGCACTTGCCGTGCTGAAACTCAGCCACTGGGTCAGGTCTCTGAGGTGTCTCTGTAGCACCCCTGTCCTATCCTTCTCAAGCCAGGAGTAAAGGACAGCGACCTTCTTGTCCTACCAGCAGGGCACAGCTCCAGACTCTCAGGGTAAAATTCTCCCTTTCTGAAGCTTTGAGTCCAATATCAAAAAGCTCAGGCTTTATCAAATTAGGGAGAAGACAAGGAACATGAACTACTACTTACTAATCGGGTTTCTAATTTTTAGCAGGCACTGTGCTGAGCAATTCACAGTTGTTCCACTTAACTCTTTCAGTAGTTTCATTTTTTTTCTGTGCATCTTTTTTCCCTTCCTATCTTTCCCTCAATAAGTGCATTCCTGGCATTGTTCTGGGAGCTGGGGACAGAATAAATGCAATCCTACCTTCAGGAATTTCTATTCCAATAAGAGGAGACTGGTGCTTTGAAAAGTAACAAATAAGCAAGGTAATTCAAGAGAGATGTCCAGTTCTCTTGCCTCAGCTGACTGCGTCTAAGCTAGGGAAAGAGAAACAGGAGGGAGACCTGAGACTTAGCAAAGTCAAAGTGTGGTCATTAAGAGTATGGTAAGTAGTTTAGTCTCTTATTTAAGCACATGGAGAAATCAAGAAGGCTTTTAAGCAGGAAATCCATCCATCTACCTAACCATGAATCCATCTGGCCATGAATCCATGTATTTGTGAATTCATCCATCCATCCATTCACCTATCCAAGGATTCAACAGATATTTTTTGAGGAAATACTCAACCCAGATTTGCATCTTGTTCTGGGGTAATGGTGGTAAGGAAGGCAATCTTTGATCTCTTTTAATTTACAGAGGCAACTGAAAAAACGCATAACCAAATGCCAGGTACAGGGATAAGAGGTTCAAAGAAAACCAAAGCAACTTGCTAGCTTTTTCAAACAGAGCAACCAACAAGGTCCATTCAGCAGGTGACATTTGAGGCGAGGCTTTGATGAAGAGAAAGAGAGAGATTTCAAAGATCTGGCAAAAGAGTCTTCAAGGCAGAGGGACTGACAGCTGCAGGGGCCTGGGGTGGAATGTGCGAGGCACAGCTAGGGACTAGCACAGCAGCTGGCTAAGCAGGCTAAGCAGGGAGCGGAAGCAGGAAATAGCTGTCATATCACTCCTGGATGGCTGGAGTCTACCGTGATCAGCAGAGGAACGTGTTCTGTTTTATGCCTTAGAGCAGACATGGCCACCAACGGGCCTACAGACGACACAGGGCTCTGGACAGCTAGGAATGCAGCCCTACAAGGTGGTAGACATCAGTTTTTAACACCATGATCTTCATTTTGATTTTTAGTGATTTCTTTATGCCTCCTTGCATAGCATGGACTTGGAGTAGAAAGGCACACAGGGGAGGGCCAGCTCTGCCTCCAGTGCCTGCTGCTCACAATCAGCCTAATGGAAACTCACATGCAGCAGATGTCACATGTGACTGGAATGGCGATCTCAACCTACCTGCAAGTGTGTCCACGAAGACAGGCATTTACTGCTATTAAGCAAACATGCAAGGTTTCTTATTTTATAGACTCAACTTGCTAAGTTTTAGCAGTTGTACAAAAGTACAAAAGGTATCAAATAGTTTGCTTATGAGAAATTGTTATAATTACATCTATAACACTAATACTACAGAAATTAATACTAGCAATGCTATAATACTAGAAATGTTATAATAAAAATGTAAAAACAGAAAGGTTTTTTTACACATATGCTAACTATTCAGGTGTGTTCAGGCTGCAGGTTGGATATACTTATAGTAAAAAATGTTTTAAAGGATAATTTATATACATTAACTACATTATATACATTTTACATGTGGTCCAACACAAGGCCCCTTCATTCATTTCAGCCTAGATAAGCTGAAAAGTGGACACCTGTGCCTTAGAGATCCACATCCACGGGCAAAAGCATACAAATGGGAGGCCAGTGGGCTACTGCACTGCTTCTGGTGACAGATGATGGTGGTGTAGGTAAGAGCAGGAGCAGAGATAGAAGCAAGTCGAAAAGCTCCAAACAGTACTTTCAGGGTAGAACCCAGAGCTTGCTAGAGGATTCTGCACAGAGACTGAGAAGAAGGGAACAATACAGTATCACTCCTTGTTTCTGAACTGAGAAACCAGAGGCCAGTGATGTGCTGCAGACAGAGAATTCTGCAGACACATCTGATGTGTAGGCGAACAGAGCAGGCAGTAAGCAGTGTGTAGACTGCCCAAGCTCATACAGCTTACAAGAAGTAGAACTAGGAGTCATCCTAAAGTTTACCCAGCTTTGCAATGTAATTCCTGGAGATTAGGCACTTCACACAGACTTAAATCTATGATTTAGCAGATAGGTCCATGATTATCGAGCTACACTGCTCTGGTCAGACACAAGACCACTCCGCTGTAGCCCAGTGTGACCTCCCGCTAGCCCTCAGGGGCTCCTTCCATACCTGGGGCTGGGATGGCGTGCTCATGTTCATAAACAGGTTGGCAGGGACCACCTGCCGAGCTTCTAGCAGCACTGGGTTTTTCTTGGTTCTTCTTGCCGGCTTGAGAACGTGGAGAGGGGGGCTTTTTAGAGGTGGAGAGCACTTTTCCTTGGGCCAGATCCTTCTGGGAAGGGAGTGTCTGGGCCCATTTTGTTTGAATCTTTCCCCTTGGTCTGTCAGGAAGAAGCTCCGTGCTTTTCTGCTTTTCTGGATGGAAGGCCTTATGCCCACCACTGGTGAGAAGAGCTGAGAATGTCACACCCTTCTGAGACGAAACCTTCTCCCACTTCCTGAGTTTGTCTTGGAAGCTGTTGGCCACCATTGCTCTGTCCTCACTGCTCATCTCAGCATTTGATCGATTAACATCGAGGAGCAGAGAAGCTACCTGGGAATTTCTCAGAGAACATGCAGTAGGCTTTTCTGAAAGTCCTGGGGAACTTGGGCTCTTCTGAATTTTACTCCTCTGGGTCAATGTCATGTGCTGGGCTTGAGGGGTCTGGATCTCACCACCAGAAACCCGTGGCAGGGGCCAGTTGTAGTTGGACGGACGGGGCTTCCCAGGGGTCAAAATCGGGGCTGGCCATGTGCATCCAGTGTCACCCTTTGGAGACACACTCCCTGGAAATTTAATGGGCTCTAGAAGAGGAGGACCATCACATTTTTGAAATTTGGCTCGAAGTTCCTTGAAGTTTCTAACCCCTTCCTACAGCATAAGAAAACACAAAAAATAAGTCATTATTCCAGGAAAAGAGCTATTGCCATCAGCTGACATCACAGGACACACAGAGAAGTCCAGATGACTGAGGACACTCCAGTTGCTGACCAGTGGGGGCAATTCCTAGCCAGCAGTGCTATTGCCTGTGTGGGGACAAAAACTTTTTTTCCTTTTTAAACTGTTTCAGGTGTAATTTTCACACAAGTTAGTTACAGAGTGAAGAAAATTTATACATATTACTATCACTGGCAAACCCTTCACACAAACTGTGAATGGTTTCCCATTGTCTGTAAAAATATATTACAAACTGTTGTATACAACAAGATTCTTCATAAAATGGTCCCAACAAACTCCAAGAACCACGGAATTGTGGTCTCCAACCACAGCAAAACACAGCTGCCCTCATGTCAAACAGACTGTAATTTCTCAAGTGACCTTGACTGCCCACCACCCCATGCACGCGTGGCTTCTTGTATCACCACTCACTGCCTATGTGCTTGGCTACTGCTTTTTTGCATGGCAATGTACCTCTCCATCAAGGGCTTCTCCAGGTAGGACTCAGCAGAGCCAGCAGCTTCCTGCCAACATGGTGTTTTCATAGCTCTTCATATCTTGCCTGTTGAACTTAACATGGTGGAGTAGAGAAAATCGAAAACTTTGGAGTTAAGAGGCCTCAGTTCAAATTCTGAATCTGTTCTTGACCATCAAGACAAATGCTCTCAAAAACACAACCTACCTGTACTTGCAGCTGTGTCCTAAGGAAAGATCAGGCTAATCCCTGTCAAGTGTCAGCGCAGTGCCTAATGTATAGTAGGCCCGTGAGAAATAAAAGCTAGAGTAAGTGTGTGATGATAAATTAAAGCTGTAAGAGGCTAGATGACCTTCCTGCAGTTATAGCTGTCTGTGGGAGACCTGCTCCTCTAAATTCAGCTCAAGTTCAGAACACGGAAATGGTGGCAGTGATGGCAGCCTCACCCTCAAGCAGAGAAACGGGTGCACCCGGACCGTACGGGAAGCTGGTGGATGATGTGGCCACACGATCTAAGTGGGCGCCTGCTTGGTGTGCCCCTATTCCCCTCTTTCTTCTGCTGGCTCACTTTTATTGTTGTAAGTGCATCTGGTCATCTTTTGCCTTCACAGGAGAACATCTAATGGAGCTCTTTCAACAGAGTCCTCTCCCGAACACGTGGTGGGTTTTAGGTTACACATACACAGTGCGTCTCCTGGCAATGACTTCTGATTTGCCAACAGAGGGAACATTGGATGACCTTTCCTCACTGTGTTTACTGTTGATTCACACCTGCCCCGGGGGGAGGGGGAGGTTTAGGGCAGCAGGGATGAAACAGAGCACAAAGCTGGTATCTGGAAGGTACATTGCAAGTCCTAGCTCGATTTTTCTTCCTTTGTCTCTTTTCCTCTCTTACCCTCACACCCACTCCCTGTGCACACTTCTGTAGCCTTCTCTACAAAGTGCCAAGTGCTGGTTTCTTATAGCACAGCCAGCAGACAAGTTATGGCAGCTACACTGCCTCTCCCGGATATGGCGGAAGCCTGTGTGAGGCACGGGGCCTTACTTCCACACTCTGAAAAACCACTTAACATTTCCAATGAAAATTCAGGATGTTAAAATCAAATAAGATAGCAGATGCACACACCTCAAGTGTTAAATTATTATTAAGCTGTGATAAAATATACATAAAATATATCATCATCACTGGCCTTCACTGTATGGAGGAGCAGTGGACAGTAGATTCGCATGGTTGTTTGAAGAACTCCTTTCATGCTGAGATACTAGAACTCTCTGTCTGTTATTCAACAGCTGTACTCTCCACCCTCACCCTCTACTTTCTCACTCTGGATTTGACTATTTTAGGTGCCTCACATAAGCAGAATCATAGAGTATTTGCCTTTTTTGGGACTCCTTATTTTAGGTAGCACAGTAGCCTCAAGGGTTGCAGCATGTGCTGGAATGAATATGAATATGAACATGTATATGTATATGTATATGTATATGTATATGTATGTATATATGACATTCTTTTTACCATCTACTTACACTGGGGTTGCTTATACATATCTTAGCTTCCATAATGACGTTGATATCAATCTAGTTGTCCAAAGCTCTTATGACTCTGCTTTTAATTATTTTGGGTGTCCTCCCAGAAGCAGAGTTGGTAGTTCATATGGTAGTTCTATTTTTACACGTTTGAGAAAACCCCATTCCATTTTCCATAGCAACCACACTACTTTACATTTACACCAGCAGTGTACTAAGGCTACAGTTTATTCATATCCTTGTCACACTTTTTAAAAATAGTACATCCTGATGGGTATACGTTAGTCAGTGGTTTACAGTTTTGAAATAACACAGTGGTTATTTCTGGCTCCCTGTTTGAAGCCACGTGGACTACAATGTTATTGTTTTGTAGATTTTTATCTTTGTAGGATTGATTAGGTAACTCTGTGCAATGGTTACTGGTTCAGGAAAAGCAAACCTGATTGTAGTGGCCCATCCTCTTCCACAAATGCTCATTAACTGCCTGCTGTAGAGACCGAACACTATTTAGACAGCCAAGTGCCTCAGGTAGCGCTTTTGTGTGTGCGCGCGTGCTGGGGATTCAACCAGAGCTTCATGCAGGTTAGGCAAGTGCTCTACAGCTGGGCTACATCCCGATCCTTTTGATTTTATTTTTGAAATGGGTTCAAATTCATATTCCTGCCTCAGCCTCCAGAGTAACTGGGACTACAGGGATGTGTCACTATATTTAGTTTAGATACTGCATTCCGATGTCAGAAAGAGTGGGAGAGAGGAAAGGATCAGGGAAGAGAGGGGAAGGAAACAGTAAACACCAAACAGTATTTCAGACCAGTGCAGCAGACAAATTAAACATGACACACAGTGAAGGCTGCACACTCCTCACCTGCCTAGGTGTGAATCAAATTCAGGGTTCAACTGGAAGATCTACACAGCCTCTTCCAATGTAACATTTAGAATTAATTCTGCTTCTGTGGCTGGGAAGTAGATGGGGTGTACATGGGGTTTTCCTTGTTGTCCACAGGTGGGAGTTCAGGGTGGAGAACATGAGGTGAGTTGTGGGAAGAGGGGTTGGGATGGGACCAGTGGCCTTCAGGGTGAAACCATGCTCATTTTCTGGTCCCACTGCCAGATGATCCCCAGATACCACTGATTGTGAGTCTTGCTGTGTACAGGGATGTGGTCTCTGTGCCACTGGCACTGCCCCCCAGTTGTCCCCACCTTCTGCTCGAGATGACTTTTTTATGGTCTCTCTGCTTTTCACTGAGTTCCTCTAACCCTTCTCTTACAAGCTGTTAGACAGATCTGTGTGAAACCACAAATCTAATCAGGTAAGTCCTTTACATGTTCAAAATCCTTCAATTTGGCTTCCCCAGAGATTTTAAGTGAGTTCAAACTCTTTTCTTAGGACATCAGCACCATCCTAATTTCACCCGGGGGAATTTCTGAGTCCTCTGAGGACTTCCTTCCTCCTAGGCTGGTGGACTGTTTACTCCTCCCTGAACCCATGCTGCCCTTTCATGTCCCCATTCCTCCGCAGGGCAGGTGCTGTCTCCCTAGCAAGGAATACCTACGTTTCTCGCAATTTTGTGAACTGGTAAATTCCTGCTTTACAAGTCAACTCATGCACCTTGGGATCTGTACTGGTTGCCTCCTCGGTGCTACTCACTAAGGTACAAAGAGGAGTAAGTAGTCGCCAATCTTCCAGAGCTCATGGATGAGGGAGACGGATGGAAATGGGTCATCCTTGATGTAGTGCAAGACGTCATTAAATACACAGCACAGTCCCGCTGCAGGCACACGGAAAGGGGTTAACTATGCAATTAGGGGTGAGAGAAAGTTCTGTAGAGATGGCTTCTCAGCTAAAAACCAGCCAAGCAAAGAAGGTAGAGAAAGATAGTCCCGAGAGAAAAAAGCATGAACTGCAGGCACAATGAGCAGAAACAGCATGGTGGGTATGGGAAGAAGCAGCAAGTCTCTATCGCTGAGGCCCCAGTGCTCAGAGAGGAGTTGGAGAGGAAGGTAGCGGGCAGGTATTCCAGGACTCCTAGGCTTCATCTTCAGTTAGGTACAGGCTGTTGCTGAGTTTACCACTGAGCAGCTAAATGCAGCCTCTAACTGAGGCATCTTCCAAGGCCATTCTGCAAGACTGAGTCATCTTCATTCGGCCTGCCTTAGCCTGTGTGTAGAACAGCTCATCCGGCCAGGGCAGCAGGCCTCCCCTATGCAGGGGCTGGGAGGCTTGGAGCCACATCTCCCAGGTGCTCTCTCAGCCAGGGTTCTTCCAGCAGAGGCGTGAATGAATGTTTAGAAAAGTGAGCAGGCTCACATAATACACCAACTGTAACTTTGAATTTAAAATGTTTTCTGGAATCATTTTGTAAGAGCAATTTAAGATGATGTCTGCTGAAGGAGATTATCCAGTCTCTGTAATATCAGAAGATGGCCCCAGAATAACACTGGGAAAGAGCCCCGGTGCTCCACATCTACCCAGGACAAGGTGATCCTTGAGTAGCTCATCTGGAAGCACAGGATGAAACAATCCCAGAGATATTGTGGAAACAGCCTAAGATAAAAACAATGTGTTCTCTAAACAGAAGAGATCTGTCTCTTTGATAAGGAAAGGAAGTAAAAGCAGCCAAGAAGTTCAGAGAAACTGCTACAACATTTCAGATGAATGAGCAGACCAGGGTGAGCAGTCTGAATCCCAGTTCTCTTGGTGTGGTTATTTTACCTAGCCAAATATATTTAGTTGAACCAGGGGAATAAAATTTCATAAGACAGAAGTCTTTTGCTCAATTTCTGCTTCACCGGAGTATAAAGAATAATAATGATAATAACAACAACACAGGCAAACACTTTCTACCAGATGCCAAACACTGTTCTAGGTGCTTTGTATACAGTCCTTTGTTTACACCCCACATGTTCCCAGGGGACCCACAAGGACATCGAG